TAACCGTATGTATTTACATTGAACCTTATGGGGGAAATTTGCCTCGTGGTGCGACCAAATTCGGAGGGCGGAATAGATTAACTGTATTTACATTGAACCTTATGGGGGAAATTTGCCTCGTGGTGCGACCAAATTCGGAGGGCGGAACAGATTAACCATATTTACATTGAACCTTATGGGAAAATTTACCTCGAGTTACGATCAACTCAAGTTGCAACCAGAGTCACGGAACGGATTAAGTTCGTAACTAGAGGCACCACTGTATTTAGGCTAGAGGTTTGAAGTAATGAGTAAAAAGTCCTATCTATTTGCCCAAACATAGTAACTTCTTTGTGGGATTATGATATGGTCCTAAATCATCATCTTTTCTCCTGATTCCAAGCAGCTACCTCATTCAGAATCGATTTAAAATTAAATTTTAAATAATGACATTGGCAGAAAGCAGTGGTATTTGTGGAGTCCTTGGTGCTCTCTGAGCTTGGTTGTTTGCTTGCAGGTGTTTCATTACCCGACTAGGTAACATTATCAGTGCTCTGATGATGTTACCTAGAATAATGTTACTTAGTCAGGTAATGAAACATCTGCAAGCAAACAACCAAGCTCAGAGAGCACCCAACCAAGCTCAGAGAGCACCCAACCAAGCTCAGAGAGCACCCAACCAAGCTCAGAGAGCACCCAACCAAGCTCAGAGAGCACCCAACCAAGCTCAGAGAGCACCAAGGACTCCACAGTTCAACCCTGAGCTACAGATATTCTCTTCTTTTGGAAGTAGTGTATCTTTTGGACTACAGAAACCTTGTGAACTGACTGTATTCAGTTCACAACTTCCCCTTTCTGATCCCAACTCTTCCTGCTGTCTTTCTCAGGGAAGACTGAAGTAAGCTGCATTGACCAAGACAGAAGTTGCTTTTGTTTTTCCCAGTGGAAGTCAAATGATGAAGTTCTGGAACAAGAATAGTGTTTCCCTCTTTAGACAATCTGCTATGTTTTCTTGCCTGAGAAAAAGAAATTATCTGTATGTTGGGATTGCATTGAGATATAAGGTATATTTGTATGAGTAAAGGAAGCAGAGAGGGTAGGGTACATATACAAAAGAGAGGGCACCTGCATCTGAAAACATTGCCATTGCTATAAATTTAATCTAGTTTAAGGATTCCTTCTTTTTTAAGTAATTGGATGCAGTGTTCATTAAATAAGTTTTCAGAAAATTACTATTCCTAGCTTTAGTAAAGATGTGTAGGTACAGTATTCTAACAGAATTGATATATGTATTAATGTGGCTTAGATTGTTTGTAGTCAGTGATTTAAAATATGACACAGGATAACCTTTCTCTCTTTTTATAGCTCAGCAGGAAGATGATGAGTTTGTGTGCCAAATCATTTATGTGTTTTACCAGATGGTCTTCCATCAAGCCACTAGAGATGTCATCATCAAAGAGACTCGTATCCTTTATCAAGTGTTCCTTTGCTATTATTGCTTTTAATTGAAAGACAGCTGGAACTAGCATGGAGAATGCATGCAGTGACAAATAAGAAGCTAGCTTTGTGTGTGCATGTGGAGCTGCTGTTTTTGTCCTTCCAGGACTTTTGTACTTCCCCCAATTTGTGACAAATAGCAAAGGAATAAAAGGCAAGTGTACGTAATATGGCAATGTAGTGATCTATGTGATTGTTTATTTTCTGTCCCACAATTACTCAGCAACAGAACTTGCAAAACAGGGCAAGCCTATATTTCAGTGTTGTTTTCAATACTCATTTACACCTCACCAGCATCAATATAGCTGTTTGTTTATTAGCAGTGGAGTATGTTCCCTTGATCACTCTCTCACTAATTTTCAGGTCGGGACTGGCTCTCTTCATTTATAAATGGAAAGGAACAATAGTTGAGTCTAAACAGTTCTGAATTTGGTATCTTTCATTTACTAGGCAAGTGTGCAAGGTTATGTCCCATCACTTATAATCCTTCTAACCTTTTCTTGATCTTCATGGAGTAGTTAAACAATTGGACTGCGAGAGAGGGGAAAATATAGGTGGATGGGATGGACAAAATAGATGCCATCCTGGAATATGAAGGTGTCAGATGAAATAGAAGTAATAGCCAATGAATAGGTTAACTAATCCAGTTATAAAATTATATTGTTTCAGGCATATGCAGCTTTCTTCAGCCAGTATGTGGGATGATTTGTGTGGTAAGGCAATACATACTATACTTTAGCTATTTGTGGAAATGCTTCAAAATTGGCTATATGACTGGGATTATTCCATGAATGGAGCTTGGGAGGAAGAACGTTTGCCACAGGTTAGACCTCTGGTAGTCTGCCAAGGTCATATCCTAAGCCTGCTTTCCATTTACTCCTTTGTCTGGGGAGATACAGAAGAACAGGAATAAGCTATCATTCTGAAGAATGGATTCTAGTTCTACTGTCTTTCCCCTTTTCATCTAAATTATTACTGAAAGCAGAATTCCTGGCACCAGTATGTACTGCTTTATTATTATAAGTAATGCATAGGCTCCTGCTTTATTGGGGATAGATCTGTGTAGCTCAGCTCAAGGCAGCCTATGCATGCTTACTCTGCCATAAGTCCTATTGAGATTAGGGGCTCTTACTCTCAAGTAAGTTTGGTTATGAATTTGTTAAGTAAACATACTCGCCTCATTTGCATTTTGGTCCCTCCATATCCTCTCCATGTGTAAAGAGAGAGTGTCTGAAATAGAGCCTCTAATGATAACTTGATTTTCTGGTGGTTCACTTTACATGGATAGAGGAGACACTCCATTCCATTGCATAGACTTACTGTCTGTCAGTGGAAGGTAGCAGCAGGAGGGCAGAGCTAGCATATCTATATTCTTTGTGAATTCCCCTTCCTTCCTCTTTTAGGATATTCTTAGTGAATATAAAAAGACATTCCCTTTCAAAGGTAATTATTTGGCGAAAAAACGATTTCTTTTTAAATAAATGTAGTATTTCAAACTTAAAAGGGATTGTCCCCTTCCTTTATAATGAAGCTTGGGGTTAGTACATGTGTTTCCTTCTTTTATTTCCCTTTTTTTTTTAAATCTGCGCTCAGTCGTTACCGACTCTGCAGTGACTGCGTGGACGAGTCCTTGCAGTTTTCAAGGCAAGTGTTTCGGAAGTGGGTTGCCAG